ACTGCAGAGTAGGGGTAGGGGTTAGATGTCTGCCTTGCACTTTTTAGCCATCAAGAACAGCAACACAACATGGTTCTGGCAAAGCAACCTGTGCTTTTCTCTTCCCTGGGCTAAGGGTTCTGTTCCTGGAGAATTGCCAGGTATGGATTGCTTGGAGATGGATTCCTGGGTGTTTGTCCCATCCTGGTGTGATGAGCAGTGAGGGTGATGCTGCAGAGATGGAATCTTATATCAGAGGTGCCAATCTTTAAGGTTGGGCAAGACCTCCAAGATCATCAAACCCAACCTTGAAATCCTCCTGGTCTGAAGCAGAATTTGACTTGCCTGACATTGCCAGAAGCCTTGAGCTCTGTGTGTGGAGGTGAGCACGCTGTGGTTTGCTGCATGGATCCAGGTGTGGCTCTGCTCCACTTCCCTGACTGTCTTCTCCTGGTGGTGTAGCCAAAACCTGAGCTGCTGTTGGGGTGGAGCTGCTTCCAAGTGTCTCCCAGCAGGATCTGACCTCCTGACAGCTGGGCAGGACCTTTGCAGAGCTGCTGATTGTACATTGACTGATGACAAAGGAATGTAGCTGAAACTGTGGCATGAATGAAGAGAAATGATGGGAAGAGCCTGGACTGTGACCCCCTTGGATGAGGAATATCTCTCCTTCAGGTGTGGCTCCTCCAGGTGACCATCCCACTCTTGTTAGGGAATGTAATTGAGTTCAGGGGAGGACAAGCTGTGACTGTGCAGGAATTCAGGCTGCAGAGCCTGTGGAATGTGTAAGGATGAGCCAGGCCTCATCCATGGCTCAGTGGATTTCAGGATTCAGACTGTGGAACACACAACCCAATGAGACTGAGGTGGACTCAATGCTCATCCCAGGACAATGTATTTTGTGTAGTCTCTTTGGTCAGGTGTCTCACCTAAACACAGGGAAGTGCAACACATTTCTGCACAGTTGAATGTTTTCAGTATCCTGGGAAGCAAATCCTTTTCCCAGGGGCAGGAATAGGTCACTGAGTCCTTGTTTGGTGCAATACAGTGAGCACTGTTGGGTTTGGTTCACTTAGGGTCTCACAGCACTGTGCTCAGTGTCACACTCCACTCTCAGGCTGTTTGTGCAGAGGCTGAGGGAGAGAGAAGTGGATAATTCCTTAGGGAAACTGAGGAAACTCAGGCTAATAACAAGGCCAAAGAGGTTGTTGGTATTGTGGTTGGGGTGAACAGGCAAACTTGGCTTCTCACAGTGCCACAAAGGTGAGTTCAGCTCCCAGGGGAGCTGGAGAAGCTGCTTTGCCTTTGCCTAGTTGGACTGTTCCCCCCTTGGGGACAGTTCTGACACTCCATCCCCTTCCTCCTGCTGCTGGAGGCCCTCGAGGCCATGCCAGTCCCACTGGGCACATCCAGGTGCTGCCAAGAGCTGTGTGTGCAGCCCAAAACTGGGTGACCTCCAGGACTGAGCCTGGTGAGAGGTGAGGAAGGCTCTGAAGTGCATGACAGCCCTGAAGGGATCCACCTCCCAGCCCAGTTTGCTGCCAAATGCCTTTGGTTCCAGTTCTGCTTTCCCAGTGTTAATGCTCACGTGTCACTTCATCTCTCAGCTCAGTATTCAGCAGTTTGAAGGATTTGCATTGCAAGAGCCTTTGGGGAGCTGTGGGTGAAGCTTCTCTCTTCACCTCACCTCTGTTATTTCAGATAAACTAGTTCTCAGGCCAAGATTTCTTTAGGTAACACCAAATTTTGCTGCTGTTGAGTAGGTGAGTTTTAACCTGTGACATTTACAGTGTGAAAATTCCTTAAAGGCATTTTGGCTTTTCCCTTTTTATCAACTCTGCAGTCAAAATGGGTTTAAGGATATCCATACCAGGTGGGTCCTGCTGGGGCTTAGCTTTGGGTGATGCCTAGAGTTTGGCTCAAAGCTCACTGAGGTCTGGGAGCATCTCCCATGGCTCTCCATGGGCTGTGGCTGAGCTGAGGAACAGGACACAGGTTGGATCCCAACACATTTTGGCTTTTCCCTTTTTATCAACTCTGCAGTCAAAATGGGTTTAAGGATATCCATACCAGGTGGGTCCTGCTGGGGCTTAGCTTTGGGTGATGCCTAGAGTTTGGCTCAAAGCTCACTGAGGTCTGGGAGCATCTCCCATGGCTCTCCATGGGCTGTGGCTGAGCTGAGGAACAGGACACAGGTTGGATCCCAACACAGCTGATCCCACTTGGCTCAGCTCAAAGCTCACTGAGGTCTGGGAGCATCTCCCATGGCTAGCAGGAGCCTGTTGGGCACTGAAGGAACAGAGCAGGAATTCAGGATTTGCAGGTATTTGCATATAATTAATGCCATTTGAGCTTGTTCACTGATGAACTGAGAACATTTGGGTGGACACACGACAGCTATAAATAGCCACAACTCTGTCAACATGGCAACACCAGTGATGTATAGAATAAGCTTCCAAAGGTTGTTTTCCACACTGTTTTTCCCTGGTGAAGGAATGACTTTACTGCTTCACTTCCAGCTCTACAGTGAGATCCTTGGCATGAGAGCAAAGGGAACTGTGGGATTCAGATTTGCCAACTGTCCAAGACATTAACGTGCCAAAGTGGTGTGGGAGAACTGATCCCCCAGGTGTGCTCTGCTGGGATGATTTGGTATTCCAGAAGGTTTATGGAAGGACACTGAGTGTTTCCTGGGTCTGAATGTACAGTTTCTAAGCTGGATTTACATTTTAATGTTGAAAAACTTGGTGTATCTCTCAAGCTTGGTGTAAAATACTCCTCTGGTTCCTGTCCCTGATGCCACATTGGGTAGGTGAAGTCAACACTAGGTATTTTATGTTCAACAAATAAATAGTTTTTTTCAGGAAATGAGGTTTGGGCTTTTCTGAGGGGGTCGTAACTTCGCCTTTGCTTTTGTCTTGGTGCTCAGAGGGTTGGGACAGACACTGATCTGGACTCATGATCTGCTTGGAGGTTTCTATGGGATCAGTGTGTGAGGCTCTCCCTGTGCCTCCACGGAGAAGAAAAAGCATCACATGAGAGATCTTTGGATATTGCCTTTATTGTGAGAACATGTGACATTGTGACCTTTAGAAACCAACCAAAATGAAGCTGCAGATGAATCACAGATCAAATCATTCCTGTTCTCCAAGAGGCCACGTGAGATCCCAGGGAAGTGGCTCCTGAAGGCTCTGAGATCAGAAGGATCAGCTGCAGGGTACACAATGATTCCCTACCCCCTGCTCATCCAGTACAGCTCTTCCCAAATCACATCCATGAGTTGATCTGCAGAGGAGGAGAATGTGATCCTGACTGTCTCATGTTTGGAATCAGTGAAATCAAAGGGGCTCAGTTCCCTGAGTGTCTTCTGAGGTGAGACCACAGACCATTGGGTTCAGCATTAATGGGTGGTGAATGTTCTCCAGCTCTTGTTTTCCTTTTCCTCATTATCCCTCGTGGCTGCAATATCTTGGCTGAGCTGCCAGAGAAGTGGGAAACCCTTTTGCCAGAGACACAGGGCAGGACAGTGGCTCCTAATTCCCAGTTTCTAAGCAGAGCACGGAGGTGCCTCAGCTCTGGCTCTGGAACACCCCTATGGACACTGCCCTACCCTGAGCCCTCACCCCCAGCAGCTCACAGAGCTTCCTGCCACAGAATCCCAGAGCCATTCAGGTTGGAAAAGCCTTCCAGGATCATCCAGCCCAACCTGTGACCCATCACCACCTTGGCAACTAGACCAGAGCACTGAGTGATCCAATTGTTCCTTGGACACCTCCAGGGGTGGTGACTCCACCACCTCCCTGGGCAGCTCCTTCCAGTGTTCACCAACCCTTTCCAGCTAGGAAAGCTGCACTTTTCTTGGAGCTGTGCTAATTCCAAGAGGAGAACCAAGCCCAGGTGCAGTGCAGCATCTCCCAGTGCTGGGGTGCAGCTGCTGCTGCAGCACAGAGCATGCTGAGCTATTTCTGGCCCGTGGAGTCACAGCAGAGAGAAGCTGCATCACAGCTGAGTGAGTAAGGACCAGCTGGCTTAGGGCAGGGTGAGCCAGGCCCTGTGCTGGGCTCAGCACAGCCCTGGGCTCTCAGCCTGATGCTCATCCCCTGCTCTGGCTGTGATGCTTTGCAGAGCAGGAGAGACACATGGCATGGAAAAATCAGCCAGGCTGTACCTTCAGAACAGTTGGTTGGATCCCCAGCAGTGTCAGTGAACACCCCAAAAAGTCCTGCCCTCCTGGGAGCTGCCCCCAAGTCTTCAGTGAGGCACAACCCACCCCAGCCCTGTCCCACAGCTGGGAGAACTGGGAAACTGAAAGACCCACGGGAGTTTTAGGGCCAAGAACAGCTATTTTGTGTATGCTCTCTGCTATATATAGAGTCTGGCAAGTGGACAGAGCTGGAACATGTTGCTTTTGTTGCTAAAAACATCATCTGGAAAGGCCATTTTAGGCAAGTGCTGCTGTCTGTGTGCAGATACACTGAGCAGGTGCTGCAGCCCCGAGCTGTGCCCTGGCAGGAGTGTAGGCACTGCTGGTGGAACCCAGGCACGTGCTCCCAGAGCTGCTGCTGCTGCTGCTCCCCTGAGAGCCTCAGAGCTTCTTCCTACTAAGGAGCTTTTACCTCCTGGGGGAGCTTGCAAATCTAATTACACCCTGGGTACTGGAGCAGCCAGTAAAGACCTCAGGTGGCACCAGCTGAGTTGCAGATCCTGTCCCAGGGCACAGAGGAAGAGCAGGACTGTCAGGGTTCCAGCTGAACCCTGTCTGCCCTTTGCAGGCTCAGCCTGGGACACGAATGCACTTTGGCATGGGGGATTAGACCATAGTTTGAAGCTTTTCCTTCAGGCAGGTTGTGGAGGGAGCTGAACCATCTGGGAAGTGGCTGTGCCCTGGGAATGAGGCATTGCAGCTCCAGAGCTGGAGCTGGCAGAGGGCTGAGCAGCTCAGGTGGATCCCTGTGTGATTCCCATGGTTGTGCTGTGATTCCTAAGGCACTGCTGTGAGGATGATCCAGGGGAGCAGGCACTCACAGCCGAGACTGGGCTGGGCTGGTCACCTGCTGCTTCTCCTGCAGGATGGTCCCGAGGAGCCTGGTTACAGCCAGGGCACAGCCCCAGTGGATGGTGATCCCAAACCCACCGTGCCCATAGTTGTGTATCACCTGGGGGAGAACCACAGAGTCAGAGGATTTCATAGACTCAGAATTTTAGGAGTTGGGATGGAGCTTAGGGATCATGCAGCCCCAACCCCTGCCCTGGGCAGGGACACCTCCCACCAGAGCAGGTTGCTCAAGGCTTTAGCCAACCTGGAATGAAACACTGCCAGGGTTGGGGCAGCCACAGCCTCCCTGGGCAACCTGGGACAGTGTCTCACCACCCTCACAGGGAAAACTTCTGCCTAAGATCTAATCTCAATTTCCTTCTTTCAATTTGTGTCCATTAATCCTTGTCCTGTCCCTGCAGCTCCTAACTAAGAGCCCTTCCCTGGGGCCCCTTCAGCTCCTGACAGGTTGCCCTGAGACCTCCACACAACCTTCTCTTCTCCAGGCTGAACAGCCACAACTCCCTCAGCCTGTTCTTGTAGGGGAGATGCTCCAACACTCTTACCAACTTACCCTGGAATCCCACACTGGTTTGGGTGGGAAGGACCTTAAAGCTCATCTCATCCCACCCCCTGCCATGAGCAGGGACAACTCCCACTACCCCAGGTTGCTCCAAGCCCCATCCAACCTGGCCTGGAGCACCTCCAAGGATGTGGCAGCCCCATCAATCTCTTTCAGTGTTTGACACAACCGAAACAGCCTCAGAGATGCCCTATTAGTGCAGAGGTGGCACGAGAGCTAACGACCACAGGACACAGCCAAGGGCTGAAGGCACCAGATGGGGGTTGGTGTTTCCCTGCCAAGGTGCCAGAGGCTGGAGCACGATGGGGACAGTCCCTGGTGGTCCTGGCCCAGGGGGCTGTGTGGTACCTGTGCCTGGCGCTGCCCTTGGCGGATGTTCTCGCGCTCCAGGCGCACCCAGGGCCGCGCTGGTCTCAGCCCACTCCACTCGCCCACGATCTTCGCACCCTGTGAGCAAGAGCACATCAGCATTCCTGGGAATTGCAGCAGCCACACCTGGAGATCCACGAGGTGAGCAGGGACAGGGGCTCAGGGTGTCTCCCATCCTGCTGCAGCTCCTGGGGAACTGCCAGGGGTGACCAGGCAGAACAATTTGGGGTTACAGCTGCACATCACCAGTCTGTGTGGAGCCAGAGGGCAAATCCCTGTGCCAAAGGCACTGCCTTTCCTGCTAATCCAGGGCATGACAGAGTGGTAGGAGTGGACACAAAGCAGCCTCACCCCACACCAGCCCTTCTCTAGAGCTGTGGGACACCACGACCAAAGGGCTGGGACCTCCCAAAGCTTTGATTCTACTTTTTACCAGCTATGTGAGTCAGTATTGTCCCTACAAATCTTGTCTCAACACCAGCCCCTGCCTGTTCCACAGCCAGGGGGAAGGGAATCATAGAACCAGCAAGGCTGGAAGAGACCTTCAAGGTCATTGAGTCCAACCAAAGAGCCTCAAGTGTGTGTGATGGACCAAACCAGGCACCCCAACATCGACTCAGCAAACACTGAGGGTCTGTGGTTAGTGCCCAGTGCCTGTCCCCATGTCCCCAAGCCCTATGTCCTCTCCCAGCAGTGTCACCCACCTGGAGAGGTGGGAGCAGGCGGCAGCAGCTCTCCCAGATGGATTTGTGGTCCTGGGCACTGTTCTCCTCACTCCAGTTGCCATGCTGGTAGATCCCTCCCAGGACTGTGAACTCACTCCTGGAGCCAGAGGAGACATGTGGTGGTGAGTGTCCCCAGCTGTCCCCTGGGGGGTCACCACATGGAGGGACTCTGTGTGTGTGGATCCTGCCCTGTCCTGAGCCTGTACCATAGTCCTGCTGGGGAAACTCCCACCTGGAGCAGGCAGGGAGTGGTGCCTGCACATCTGCTTAGCAGCAGCTCACTCATTAAACACCATCAGCACCCAAAAGGCCCTTCCTTGTCTGGGGACCAAGATGGGTACAAAGGGGAAACAAAAGATATTCCCCAAAAATCTAAAGATCTTCCCCCAAAACTCTGCTCTGCTCTCACTGTTTGGCTCTTTGGAGGACCTGGCCAGGATTGGTGTTTTGCTGGGATTTGGTGCTTGGAAAAGGACAGGACAGACACACTGAAGCACTGTGGCACAGGGAGCTGATGCTCCCAGTGCTGACCAGGAGCTCCTCTCTGTGCTGTCCACATCCTTCTGCTCTCCTCCCACACAGCCAAGGAAAGCTCCATCAGGCCAGGAATGAGCCCAGGCCCTGGCAGGCACCAGGAGGAGCTGTGTCCAAGCCAGGACTTTGGGAATACTGACAGCAGAATGTCACCAGCACCAGCCAGACCTGCCTTGGCTACTGTCACCTACCCTGGGATGACATAGGGTGAGTTGTAGATCCCAGACTTCAGGTCATGAGTGATGATGAAATGCTTCACCCACGGGGCCAGGACCTGGGGGATGAAGGGGAGAGGATCAGGGGGAGCTGGAGAGGGGAGTGCCAGGCTTGGGGGGCAGCAGGAGGGACACTGGGCTCTGGATATGGGACCCTCCCTCTGCTCAGGCTCTGTGCACACCATGGCACTGCCATCCCTGGGAGGACAGGG